GCCCACAACCTGGGCATGTGCCCTGACCGGGAATTGAACTGGCGACCTCTTGGTGCATGGGTAGATACTCAACCACTGAGCCATACTGACCGGGCTGCAGCAGTCATTTTTAATAAAATAATAGACTATTTTAGAGGAAGTTTTAGGTTCACAGAAAAATTCCATAGGCAGTGGTTCCCATGTTCTCTGGGGGCTTCCCTCACCAGTCCCGTCATTAACATCTTGCATTAGTGCAGTACATTTGTTACAATCAATGAACCAATATTAACACATTGTTATTAAGTAAAGTCCATAGTCCAACTATGACTCACTCTTTGCACTGTGCTTCTATGGGTTTTGACAAATGCGTAATGGCTTGTATTCACCCTTGTAGTATCATCTATATTCATTCAGCTGTCAACAGAGGAATTTCCCTTACTTTTCATCCTCCTTGGCTGCCCTGAGTGTTAGCCTTTCTGCACAGTCCCACCCTCGAGTGGTTTCTGTTGAGTGGGAGCGGCAGGGCCAGTCCAGGTGACAGCCACGAGACCACAGGTCTCAGAAATCCCCTTGGTTAGTAGCAGGACACTCATCTCAGAGCAGGAGGGAGCAGCACCAGGGCTTGACCTTTCCCCTTGGGGACAATCCTACCTTTTCCCTGGGGTCCAGGTGGGAGGAGGGAGGAAGGTAAGGCACGTGACCCGACTCTACAAGCCAAGAATTGTGCCAGGCCCCTGCTGCGTGTTCACTCTGTCACCCCCTGAGGCCTTGCTGAGTGGCACAGGTGCTGGGCTGGTGCTCGGGGGGGCGAGGGGAGCTTCCTTAGAGGGAAGACAGGAGTGTAGGCCCCTCTACCACATGACCACTGTCAGGTCACACAGGAGGAAGGTCTTTTGTAGGAGACTCGCAGTGGTCAGTGGCCAGGCCCCCGGAAGGCTGGCTGTGGGCTCACATACCTGCTAGCTGGTCTGAATGACCTACATCCACGCTGGGTGGGTAAGGGCAAAAGTCAAAGGTAAACATCTCACTTGATTGTTGTCAAGCATTTCTTCATGTGTTCTCCCAGATGGGCTTCCTCACAACTGGGGACGAAATGAGGCCAGTGAGATGACCACGCAAATGAGGAAGCAGGTCCTCAGAGCTGCCCCTGCCCCCACTGTGGCCTGCAAAGCAGCCTTGGTGAGACCCCAGCCCGGGGGGGAGCTGGGTTGCTAGTCTTGGCCTGACTCCCACTCAGTACTGCCCACCTGGGTCCTGTGAGCTGAATTCTCTGTGTTATGATTTAGGAAGGTGTCTGAACCACCTGATACCAAATCCCAAGAAGTCAGCCACTGAATTTGTGCTACTCAGACCCCAAGCCTAGCACAGGACTTTCCACTTGGGGGAGGGGGCATCAACAAAAGAATTTTTTAAAGGCTAATCAAGAATTGACTGCATTAGGGAAAAACTGGAAGGAAAAAATCAGAATCTGATAAGAGTGTCTGTATCTACCAAACAATATGGTTTTTTTCAAAAATTATGAGCATGCATTATTATTTTTTTATATAACAAAAGAACTATTCTATTTTAGGAAAAAATGACAACAATGGAAAAAGTTTTGAAAAGCAGATAAATTAGAGTTTGGCACTTTAAAAAGTTACTTAACCTCTCAAAACTCATCTCTTCATCTGCAGAATGGGCATACTATGGGCACTCCCCTCACCAACTCTGGAGAATTAAGTGAAGCTTGTATAAAGCAGTGTTTACCTGTCGTAGGTGCTCAATACACGCTCACTTTCAAGAACACGTCTACTTTATTTTTGAGCAGCATTTTAGATTTAGGCAAAAATTGAGGAGAGGGGACTTCTGGTCAGAAGGCGGTGTAGATAAACGCATTATCGCCTCCTCCAACAACCACATCAAAATTACAACAAAACTACAGAACAACCAGCATTCAGAACCACTGAAATTGAGCTGAATGGAAGTCCTACAACTACAGGATTTAAAAAGAAGCCACATTGAGACTGTGGGACAGGCTGGTCCCACACCCACATGTGGCGGATAAAATCAGGAGGGCTACCTCCGCTGTGAATGTCCTCCCTGAGGAGTGAGGGGTCCCTGTTCCATATCAGGCCCCCAGCTCGGGGTTCTAGTGCCAGGAAAAGAAGTCCCCATAACTTCTGATTGTAAAAACCAGCGGGGATTGAGGCTGAGGTCAAGTTGAGGCTGGAGCCCCAGGCAGCTCTTCTTAAAGGGCCTATGCATGGACTTACTTGGACCCTCCAGGCTCCAGCGTGGGGAGGCACCTTGAAAGGCACCAGAGACATGGGGGAAAACCTGCATTGCTTGGCATCAGGGTGAGAGCTGGAGGGGCAGCTTTCTTCTGGACAGACGTGCTGGTGGAGGCTGTTGTTCCTTTGGTGAGCCCTTCTCCCACAAGGCAGGCCAACGGGCACCATATCTGGGACTCCAGAACCTGGCTTACACTGGTTGCCCCACCCTGGTGATTTCCTGAGGCCCCGCCCCACCCAACTTTCAGGCCCACCCAAGCTGTTTCCAGTGGCTTTACCATAGGAATTGCCTGTCTTGGCTCATTATCGAGATTTTCTTAAAATCTCTCAAACAAGCAGCATCTGGCTTCAGTGAGCCCCATACCTCTTGCTAATTGGACCAGGCCTGGCACTAGCAGAATCTGGTCTTGGTTCACAGCTGGTCCTCACCTGGACACCTCCAAGTCCAGCACAAGCAGCAGCCATCTACAGGTTACTTTATAGCTTATGCCTGGTGCCCCAGGTAGAACACAGGCAGTGACTGACCTTGGCCTGTGCCTCTTGGGAGGCCCCAGAGTCAGCACAACCACTGGACAGCTTCAGACCATGTTGAAGGACCACAATCCAACCACCTCTACAAGCAACACACTCACAGGGTGAACTCAGTGAGTATCAGAGCCCTGCTGATCAAAGTCTTGCTCTGTGTGAAGGGCTCCTGCACAGCTGATCCTCTAAGGTATTCAGAGGTCAGTGGTCAGTGGGCACAGCCAGTCCTTGTAGCTGATCAGCCTGAGTAGATCCCTCCCATTAATGTGCCAACAGAAATCAAGACTCAGTTACAACAGAAGGGTAGACAGTCCACATGAAGGGTGCACCTCGAGAGCCTAGCTGGGATGACCTGGGAGGCTGTGCCACTGGACCGACCCTACAGGATGCCTATAACAATAGACCACCCTATAAAGTCTAGGAGACATAGCAACTCTACCTAATGCATAGAAACTAACACATGGAGGCAGCCAAAATGAGGAGATAAAGAAACATGTCCCAAATAAAAGAATAGAACAAAACTCTAGGAAAAGACTAAACACAATGGAGATAAGCAATCTAACAGATGTAGAGTTCAAAACACTGGTTATAAGGATTCTCAAAGAACTTAGTGAGGACCTTAAGAGCATAATAAAGAACCTATCAGAAATGAAGGATGCACTAACTGAAATAAAGAATAATTTACAGGGTATCAAATATAGAGTAGGTGAAGCTGAGAATCAAATCATCGATTTGGAATATAAGGAAGCAAAAAACACCCAATCAGAACAGCAAAAAGAAAAAAAAATCCATCCAAAAAATGAAGATAATGTAAGGAGCTGCTGGAGCGACTTTAAGTGTACCGACATTTGCATCATGGGGGTGCCAGAAGGAGAAGAGCGAGAGCAAGAAATTAAAAACCTATTTGAAAAAAGAATGACAGAAACTTCCCTAACTTGGTGAAGGAAATAGACATACACATCCAGGAAGCACAGAGAGTCCCAAACAAGATTAACTCCAAGAGGCCAACACCAAGACACATCATCATCAAAATGCAAAAGTTTCAAGACAAAGAGAGAATCTGAAAAGCAGTTAGTTACCTACAAGGGAGCTCCCATAAGACTGTCAGCCAATTTCTCAAAAGAAACTTTGCAGGCCAGAAGGGAGTGGCAAGAAATATTCAAAGTGATGAAAAGCAAGGACCTACAACCAAGATTACTTTGTCCTGCAAAGCTATCATTTAGAATCAATGGACATATAAAAAGCTTCCCAGACAAGAAAAAGCCAAAGGAGTTCATCATCACCAAACCAGCATTATATGAAATGCTGAAGGATCTTCTTGAAGAACAACAAAAATCTGAACAAAAAAATGGCAATAAATACATATCTATCAACAATTGAATCTACAAACCAAATGTAGTTTTGGAATATAAGACACAGAGAATTTTTTGATGGTTGCCAGATGGGAGGGGGTTTGTGGGGACAGACAAAAAAGGTGAAGAAATTAAGAAGTACAGATTGCTTGTTAGACTGATGAACCACAGAGCGAAGGGGGTTTGCAGGAAGAGATAAGCCACAGAACTTATATGTATATATGCATAACCAATGGACACAGACAATAGCGTGTAGAAGGCAGGAGCAGGGTAGGAGTGGGGAGGGGGGTGGTCAGTGGGGAAAAATAGGGGGACATCTGTAATACTTTCAACAATAAAAATAAATTTAAAAGGAATTGAGAAGATAATATAGGCAGTTCCCATACACCTGAACAGTTTCACCTCTTAGGTACATTTCATATTTGTCTGGTATTTGTTACATTTAATGAACCATTCTTGATACATTATTATTAACTAAATTCCATACTTTATTCAGATTTCCTTAGTTTTAAGCCAACATCCTGTCCCTTTTCTGTTTCAGGATTACATGTTCACTTTGTTTTTGTCACCATTATTATTTTGGGGGTAATAGACACTCAGCAAACACTTCTCTCAATCCTTCCTTTTCTGGTAAGAGCCATCTAGGCGATGAAACGTCTCTCCTAGCCTCTTATTAGGAAGCAGGGGACTGAGCTGGAGCTGAGAAATGTGTGGGGCTCCTGCATGTGGGCGGGGTGGGGTTGGGGGTTGTGTTTCAGGCTGAGAAGGGGATGCAGTGAGTACAACCAATGCTTCTTTTGTTGCAGTCAAAGCCACAGGTTTGAAGCTTCTATTGAGCAACAGAATGTGTACCAGCAATTGCCTCAAGATAGATGAATCAGAGAAGTTGCCTCACTAGAGGTCAAAGGTGAAACCCGAATGCCTTATAAAACCTTCCGGGCTCAGGGCTCCTCACCAGAACAGGCTTCTTGCTAGAGCTCCACACTCCTGTACATTGAGGGTAAGTGTGCTTTTCTTGGCTGGGCCCTCTGGGGTTCTCACAGGGGTGATTGTGTGTGGTCATGTTGCAGGCTGTTGGAAGCCACAACCCTCTGCTTGCCAGAACTTCTCTGGGATGACAGCATTAAAAATATATTTAAAAAATTTTAATTTAGCCCTGGCCGGTTTGGCTCAGCCATTGGAGCATCGGCCCGCGGACCAGAGAGTCCCGGGTTCGGTTCCCGCTAGTGGCATGTGCCTCAGTTGCAGTTTACCCCTGGCCCCAGTTGGGGTCGTGTGGGTGGCAGCCAGTCGATGTGTCTCTCTCACGTCGATGTTCTCTTTCTCTCTTCCCCCCTCTCTCCCTCCTGCTTTATCTTAAGATTAAATATATATATATATTTAATTTTTCTATTACAGTTGACATACAATATTATATTAGCTTCAGGCATACAACATACCTTATGAAGTGATGGGCTGACTAAATTTTGGACCCAAAAAGAACAGCTCTTGCTTGCTAGGTAGACCTAGTCTCAGGACTCAGGGATGGCAAAAGCCGGGGGCTAGTGGCTGTCTCTAAGGGACCGTGGCCAAAGTACCACCACTTGGGGAGAGGAAATAGTCTGGAGAACCACAGAACCCTTTCCAGCTAGACTTCAGTGGACAACAGGTACCCTCTGATAATACTACCCAGGAGATATGGGGACATGGGACGCTGTGGCAACTGAGGTTGATTCTTTTAAACATCAGATGGTACTATAGGCCCTTCTCCCCCCATCCAATCCACAAATGAAGAGCAGAGAGGACACAAAGCAGATGCAAGGGGAAGCCATCCATTGTTTAAACTTTCGATGCAGAAAGAGAGGAGAGAGAGGGTATGGGGCTGGGAAGGAACTGTCCGAGACCTGCCTTGTCTTCTGAAGGTTAACGTGAGGTTGGGAAGATGACGAAGCTGGAAGACCACCTGGAGGGAATCATCAACATTTTCCACCAGTACTCCGCTCGGGTGGGGGATTTTGACACTCTCACCAAGAGTGAGCTGAAGCGGCTGATCACAAAGGAACTTAGCAACACCATCAAGGTAGGTGATCCCCTATCCCGGTGAACTTGCTCACCCCCTGAATTGAGGGTAGTGCCAAGGACTGAAGGATTACGGAGGAACAAGGACTTGGGTGGGTTCAGCTCCAATTTCAGCACCCAAGGAAGTTCTCCCTCAGCTGTGGAAAAGGGCCCCATCTCCCTCTCTGTTAACTCACCCTGTCACCTCGGCTGTACTCTCTCCTCTCTCCGCAATTGCTCCCACTCAGGTGAAGTGGAGAAGGCGGGGCGGGGAAAGGGGGTGGATGAGTGAACTCTGGAGAACCTTCCAGGTCAGGACTTCTCTCCGTCTTGTTTTTTCATTGGATCCTCCAACACAGTTTTAGCCAATGAACGAACGTTCCTGGGCCTCCCTTAGCTGAGCTCTGAGGGGGGAGAAAGGGGTAGGGAGAGTCTGAGCTCACTGTGTCTGCTGTCCCCTTCTCCTAGAACACCAAGGATCAAGCCACCATTGACAAAATATTCCAAGAGCTGGATGTTAATGGAGATGGACAGGTCACGTTTAAGGAATTCATAATCCTGGTGGCCAGGGTGCTGGCGACTGCCCATGATAATATCCACACTGAGTAGGGAGCTCCGAGTGCCTTTCTGCCAACAATGTCCGCAAGAAGAACCTAGGGAAGTGAGAGTTAATAAATGTATTCTTGAAAAGTTCTTAACAGTGTCTGTGCACTTCTTTCTTTCCATGCCCATGGTTTCCAAACTTAATCACAGCTCAGCCTTGCTGTTCTGACAGGCCTCACTGAGACCCCTGAGACCCCCTTCTCTGTTCGTTTGTTCACCACCTATTTATTAAATGTGTACTACTTATGCATTCATTCATTCATTCCACAAATACTCACCGAGCATCTGTGATAGCCGGAGACCAAAGACACACGTTTCCGTCCTACTGGGGCTTGCATTCGACTGGGGAGGGGATTGAAAATAAAGAGACAAACAAATAAAAGTATATCTTACGAGACACTGATAGGTAATGATAGGTGATATGAAGAAAGCTAAAGTAGGGAAATGAGATTAGGGGAGGAAGGGTGCTGGTTTAGAGAGGATGATTAAGGAACGCATGTAGTAGAAATCTGAAAGACAAGGGGAGCAGCATGCTGATATCTGGGGTCCAAGAGTTTCTGTCACAGAGAAGCTAAGGCCCTGAGGTGAACACATGTGTGACCTGCTCAAAGAACACAGAAGGCAATGCACGGGAGCTGAGATGGGGTGGTGGGAGGTGAGTTTGTCTTTCCATTTATTCAGTGCAAAGCCCTGTGGAGATCATGTGAAGGAAGCTGGGAATCAGGACTGAGGCCAGGAAGTGACTGATCTTGACCCCCAAGGCCTGGGGTTGGAGGTTTGCTGGACCACCCACTAGAGGGACTGCACCTGTGAGACTTGGACCTGAGGCAAATCTGAGGCAGGATAGAAGTGTGGAAAGTATAGCAGGTGCCCTGGCCGGTTTGGCTCAGCGGTTGGAGTGTTGGCCTGCAGTCCTGAGAGACCCGGGTTCGGTTCCCGCTAAGGGCATGTACCTCGGTTGCAGTTTGTCCCCGGCCCTGGTCGGTTGTGCGGGTGGCAGCCACTCGATGTGTCCCTTTCACATCGATGTTTCTCTCTCTCTCTCTGTTCCTCTCTCTCCCTCCCACTACTACCTGAACAAAAAATGGAAAAATGTCCTCGGGTGAGGATTAAAAAAGAAAAAAAAGAAAGTATAGCAGAAGCCTTAGGTTACTCCTCTGCTGGGGATGGTGGAGAGGCTGAAGATGGGGTGAAGTGGGGTTGGCAGAGGACAAAGGAATTTGGACCCAGAGCAGAGGGTCTCGGAGTGACCCAAGCCTGGAAGGCTTTTGTCACCAGGTGAGAACAGGGACATGTAGGGAAAACCCTCACTTGCTGAGCAACCTCAGGCAAATCACTTTGCTTCTCTGGATCTTTGTGTTCTTCATTTTTGAAGAATTCAAAGGAACTCAAATTCATTGGAGGAGATTAGACTAGACGAACACTCAGGTTTCACCCAGTTTTAACATTCTGAGACACTTCGATGGGATGAGGAGAATTCGAGTGAGATCTAGAAGGGTTGGAAGGAAGTTATTTTGGGGACTAAAAGGGTCAAGAGTATGAGGATTGAAGTTAAATTTCTGATTTCAGGTCTTAGTTCTGCCAGCTTCTCATTGCGAGGCCTTGAACAAGTTATTAAAATCTGAGCTTCAGCTTCCCCATCAATAAAGTGGGAATAACAGTGGTACCTCCCAGAGCTCAGAACCAGAGCAGCCAACAGCAAATGTAAGGCACTTAGCACCTGATGCCACGTGAGCACTCAGTAGGCGCTAATTTATAAAGGAGCAAATAGTAGCCTTAGCTCGTGCACTCTCGCTCATGCAGCCACGACAGGTGAAGCTTATTTCATTTATTAAAAAAACAATTTTTTTCTTTATTGATTTTAGAGAGAGAGAAATGGAGAGGGAGAGAGAGAGAGAGAGAAACATCGATGAGAGAGAACACTGATTGGCCGCCTCCTGCATTCCCCGCACTGGGGATTTGGCCCACAGCCTGGGCATGTGTCCTGATGGGGAATCGAACTGGCGACCTCTTGGTGCATGGGTCAATGCTCAACCACTGAGCCACACCAGCTGGTCTGGTGAAGCTTCCTTCATTTTATTTTATTTTTTTGGTATATTTTTTAAATTTTAATTTTAATTTTTATTAATTTATTTTTGTTACAGATGATTCTCCTTTTTCCCCCATTGACACCCTCCTCCCCATCCCCCCACTGCCCCGTCCCCAGCTTTGTTGTCCATGTCCATTGGTTATGAGTACATGCATATAAGTCCTGTGGTTTATCTGCACCACCCCCTCTTCTGAGGTTTGTCAGTCTGTACCCTACTTCTATGACTCTAGGTCTATTTTGTTCATTATATTCCACAAATAAGTGAGATCATGTGATATTTGTCTTTCTCTGCTTGGCTTGTTTCGCTTAGGATAATATTCTCCAGGTCCCTTCATGTTGTCTCAAAGTATAAAAGATCTTTCTTTCTTATAGCTGCATAGTACTCCATTGTGTATATGTACCACAGCTTTTTTATCCACTCGTCTACTGATGGACACTTGAGCTGTTTCCAGATCTTAGCAATTGTAAATAGTGCTGCTATGAACATGGGGGTACATATATTCTTTCTGATTGGTGCTTCAGGCTTCTTAGGGTATATTCCTAGAAGTGGGATCAATGGGTCAAATGGAAGTTCAATTTTTAATTTTTTGAGGTAACACCATATTGTTTTCCATAGTGGCTGCACCAGTCTGCATTCCCACCAGCAGTGTACTAGAGTCCCCTTTTCTCCACACCCTCACCAACACCTGTTGTTTGATGATTTGTTGATGGCAGCCATCATTACAGGTGTGAGGTGATACCTCACAGTTGTTTTAATTTGCATCTCTCTGATGATTAGTGACATTGAGCATTTTTTCATGTGTCTCTTGGCCATTTGTATGTCCTGTTTGGAAAGGTATCTATTTAGGTCCTCTGCCCATTTTTTAATTGGGCTCTTTGTCTTTCTTTTGTTGAGTTGTATGAGTACTCTATATATTTTGGAAATTAACCCCTTATCTGATGTATCGTTGGCAATGATGCTCTCCCATACAGTGGGTTGCCTTTCCATCTTGATGGTTGTTTCTTTTACTGTGCAGAAGCTTTTTAGTTTGATGTAGTCCCATGTGTTCATTTTCTCCTTTGTTTCTCTTGCCTTAGGCATTGTATTGGTGAAAATTCTGCTGCGTATGATGTCTGAAATTTTGTTGCCTACAGTTTATTCTAGGATTTTTATGGATTCATGAGTCACATTTAAGTCTTTTATCCATTTTGAGTTTATTCTTGTGTATGGTGTAAGTTGGTGGTCTAGCTTTTTTTTTTTTTTTTTTGCATGTAGCTGACCAATTTTCCCAACACCATTTATTAAAGAGGCTGTCTTTACTCCACTGTATGCTCTCGCCACCTTTGTCAAATATTAATTGAGCATATTGTCTTGGGTCAATTTCTGGGTTCTCTGTTCTGTTCCACTGGTCTATATGCCTATTCTTGTGCCAGTACCTGGTGAAGCTTCTTTTAAACCAAAGCAAAGACTGAGCTTATTTTGTAGGGGTAACCTGTTTAATTAAAGTTGACTAGTTAGACAAGTAACCAAGGGCAGTTAGGTACAGTTGTTCTCTAAAGACCTTTAGGCTAGACCAAGCTGTTGTCCTGCAAACTGGGGTTCCTGCTTAATGCACTCACATTTTTCCGTGACCACTCCTGAGGGATATAATATTAGAATCTGGTGAAAAAAACAACCCATCGACAAGAACAAAACTCAGTGTATTTGCTCTTTTGAAAACATTCACCAGCCATGATTTTGTTTCATAATAACCCACTGAACCACAAATTGAACCTAAATCCTATTTTTTTAAAAAATATAAGGGTCCCCAAGCTTGGTCAAAATCCATCAGAGGCACCTGAGGGCAATGAAAAGAGCCCTCAGCCCAGGCCCAACTGCTTCTTGATCCTGTGAGTCTGAGCAAGTGACATCATTTTCTGAACCCTTTCCATCTCTAAGGTGCAATGTTTGGATGAGGTGACCTTTAGTTCCATGAAAATGCACAGCTTAGTCCCCTGACAATGGCAGATCCCACAAAACAAGCCAACAGACACGAGGACTGTTTGAGCCATAGGACTGCAGAGACGGGACCAGAATCTCACCGTCAACCTCCTGTCCCTGCCATGAGCCTGTCTCCACCATTCCAGACCACCCTCCAGTCTCCTTGTGAACTGTCCGACTTCTTGGACTTGTGTCTGCTGCCCTGCAGTTCTTCCTGTCCGACGCCCGCTCTCTTCCCTTCACTTGCAAACACTGTGAAGTGTCTGCTCTGCTGTAGCACCAGGCTGCTCGTCCACTTGTCCAACTCTCACGTCGCATCCTCCAGCGAACTCTCCCACTCACACACCCTCACATTTCCACCTCCATCCAGAGTCGTTTCAGCTTGGGGACCCCAGGGCTCACCTGCCTGTCACGCTCCTGGGCTCCTGCCACACCAGTTAGCTGATGGAGTCCTCTGGGCCAGGGCGTCAGTGTGCGGTAAGGGACACCGTGGCCATTCTCTCGGGTGCTCTGTGTACGCCACCTTGCCCTTCAGGGAGACACCTCAGGTAGGCTGCTGGCACCCGCAAGCCCAGCCAGCTTTGGTATCGGGCTCTGGAAGCCAGGAGAAGGCTCGGGGTTCAGAGGACGGCTACCCTGCAGCAAGAACAGCTGGCACTCAGCGTTTCAATGTGGCCGATAAAAAAGTATTCAAAATCGAAAGAAAGCAAACTGGACTGTAGAAACCTGGCTTCCTGTGTGTCTCTGATTCCCTTGTCACCTAACGGCGCTGGGCACGCGGTTGAGGCTGTGCCCTTTGCAATCCCACCTGGGCATCAATCTGAGGACGCTGTCCTCCCCTCCTCAGCTCCCCGCCCCCACCCCAGCCAAGAAGGCAGAGAAATACACCAACCAGAGTGTCTGCGCTCGACACCCACCTTCACTTCTCTGCCTCCCACGACCTAACATGGAAAATACAGCATCTACTTGGGGTCTGTTGTCCCCCTGAGACTGAGGGCTCCTTGAGGATGCAAAGGTCGGGCTCAGTGATCTGCAGCAGCC